GGCAACTCCCCGATGATTACTTTCCATACATGAAGAATCGCAGATATTCGCGGAAAATTACACATTGATAAAATTGCATATTGCATTTTCTACCCTTTTTATGTAAAGTAATGGCTCTATTTTGCTCTGTTTGCCTGGGAATCGTGTTGTATTAGTCACTTATGTGTGATCTAAAAAATTCTAAAGCAGGTCACATTTTTCTACATCACAACACAGTATACCATAATTATATTGATAGTGTAAAAGGCATGTGTCTTCCTCATTTAATTTCTACAATGAATTCAATGTTTTCCATCTTTAATCAATATATATTTTTTCTCTTCTGAACTATCATTAAACGATTGTTCAGTACTTCTCTGTACTAATCTAAACTAGCTCACTCTGTATGTTTTGTTCTCCAAGATTTACATTTTGACCTATTGTCCACGAATCGGCGATTTTTTACCACTGTGCGCCGACAAGCTCAAGGACGACGTGCCGGAGTGAGGGCGTCCCAGCAGACGCACATGGTTCGTCGTCCCTCGGCGCGGACGCGAGACGAATCAGTGGAGACAATTATTTTGTTCTGATTTTACTACTAAGGAATGGCTCGAGCATCACCCCGTTCTTCGAACTGTGGTAAGTTGGCCACGATAATATCAACAAATCTATTTTCAAACAGAATAGCAGCATGGAAGCTCTTGCTAATATACAGAAACTTGCCAAGCAAAACAATGGAAAGGCACTAATTTCTTGCCTGCTGCCACACAAATGTATTGTGTTATTGGTAACTGAAAAGCTAGAATAATAAAGTAAATTGTGAGGAAAAGATAATAAAGCAAATTTGGTAAGAAGGCGTCTTATTTCCACAAAGCGAAAGCACACGAATAAAAACCTTTAATATGTTTCATAATCGCTTTGGCATTAATTTTCCCGTTATGGAAATGTAAATTTCGTAACGGGAAGAGGATCGGGAACTATTTGTTCTCATTTCCATTCCGAACGGAATCTGCTGATGAAGGCGTCGCATTTTATTTACTTTTATTTTGTAATCATTTAATGCGGTGCTTGGTGCCCAAGTTCCTGTCCGTTAGCGTCTACATATAAAAATAAAACTCAAAGAAATGCCATTATTATCCCCTGCTTTATATTGCGCAATTTTATACAAGATCAATGTTTGATCTGGTCAGGTCTCGACTGAGGCCTCGCTTGGTGGATTTCTTTCCTCGGGGCAAAATTTCTGGCCAAGCATCATCTTTTAATGCTTGTTGTAAGCGACGTTTCAGGTCATTTGAGTATATTTTGCCAGGCTGCAAATCATAAAATTAGAAAGGGTTGGTTACTTTTAGACAATGAAAGTTGTGGCTTCAACTGCATATTTAGTGATAATATCACTGTGATCCCATGCTGGCCTTATATCTACTGTACTTGAGAGATGATTTAGACGACTTAAATATTCATCTTCATAAAATTCTGTCGTATGCGGTCCTCGACTGCTGACATCAATCTCAGGGAACACTTAGTGGTGTTCCTATATAGAGGTGTTTTCTTGTGACACCAGAATACAAATTGATATAATGAAGCTACAAGTAGTATATAGAAACATGGTTTTATTAGTAAATAGACTAGCTACTGGAAGTACGGACCAGCACAAACAAATGCGTCTTATTATTTTTTTTACTTTGAAAATGAAACACAGGTCTTTTTCCACTGGAAACTTTACTGCCATATGAAATACATAAAGTAGATTTTATTGTATGTTTTGAACGTCTCTGACAAGTGCTCTGCCGTGTAGAGCAGAAACACATACAACTCTGGAGCTGCAATGGGTAATAACTTGATGACTATGGATTATGATAGTGACTATATAATTTCAGCTAGAAATATGTATACAAATTATGATTCCTCTCAGTGCGGGAGACACCTTGGTATTTCCACTGGCACACACTTGCTGCGCCCGAGCAGAGGCAGCAGCAGCTGCCGCATGCCTTGTGTGAATACGATGTAGGGGAAGGGATGACACAAGGCTGCTCTTATGATACAATGTCACAAACCAAACAGCAATTTTTGTAATGACATTAAAAAAAAATCTGTAAAGAAATAATACTGTAGGAGTACCCTATGAAGTTTACTTTACCATTGGATTTTTATAACTTCAAAAGTTGATTTCACTATTGTGGTTAATCCATTAACATTCTACTTTCTATTTTGGAATTGTCTCCTGACAAAACATCCCACGTATTGCCTTTTTTCACTCATCCAAACAGATATTTACAGACCAAGATGATTTGACACGCTCAGAAACTTCACAAATTCCTTCTTTCCTCGTGATTTCTATAAAAACTATTATGACACTTCAAAATGCAAAACACCAGTAAAATTATGACAAAAAATATCCACACTTACTTTCAACTTTCACATGTGCAGGATTCAAGCATTTACAATTGTTTGAGATCACACAAAAATATTGATAGTATTACAACAAAGGAAGATATTACTGGTAATATGCACTTTTACAGCCAAGGCCTATTGCCTTGTAAAGACTACCTCTTCAACAGAGTACACTCTGAAGATGCCACATTCACACACCTGGAAACCAAAGAGGGGTTTGTTAAAATTCAGCAGAAACCAACAGCTGAAGAAAAACAGATGCTACTGGCTGTCCTCTCTCCTAGATTTTTATTATTGTATTTCAAATTAAGAGTCAATAAATATTGAAAAATAATAAATAACTTTCAACACATCTGGTCAATCAAAACCAATGAGCAAAACCATAAGATCTCCTTAACTGTGAATCAGATACTTTCCAATGAAGTATGAGAGGAAAATGATCAGGTTGATGACTGTCACGTCCTGGCAAAGATATGGTCTTTGTGAAACCTTTTATGAAGTTTTATTCCTATAAACTGTAAGCAAAGAAGGAAAGGAGGAGCAAAGAAGAAGGTGGAAGAACACATGGAAAAAGGAGAGGAGGTAAGGAGAAGCTTGTAGAAAATGACTCAAGGAGAGAGTTAGGATCGAGGGAGGAAGAAAGGGGAGAGATGAAAAACAAATTTCTGTAGACATTTGAGCAACAATGTAACTCATATTTCTGGTTCGAATAACAAACTGCAGGTTCTCTATACGCATATATATTTTTTTTACATACACATTTCCTTGGAGGCTTCAAAAATACTCACTCCGTGCAGCTTTCAGGAGTTGTTTAGTATTGCTATCTGGATACTGAAGTACTTTGCACTTTTAATAAATAAATATAGGTATAATACTAATAAAAGTAAAAAAAAAATAACAGGAACAATAATGATTGTATATAGAGAATTACAATTATAAGAAAGGCCCTTGCACGAATCAGGTCCATCGAGCACATTTTGAACAGCCTTTCTCCAAGGAACTCTTGCTCGTCTCTCTCTCTGGGCCAAATAGACAAGGCAATTTCAAGCTCATTACATTTTGCAACAATAAGTGTGAACAAATTGCACAGCAATGCCTCATCCATCAAGGCTGCTCTCAACACTTGATTCTCAGGAAGAATCGACCGAAAGTGTCATATCTGCCATATAATCAGTACAAAGCAGAATCCGTATTCTGATAACTTGTAGCAACAATCTCTCTTACAAATCCATATTCACTGTATTTGCCGGCAACAGGAGAAATTCAATATGCAATAAACGTTCCAGTCTTTATAGATAGGCCTACTTATATACATGGGGGAACACAACATGAGCCGAGAATGTAGAAGTTGTATAAACCTTGAAAAGATATCAACTCCAGCTCCCTAGTTGGAAATAATATAAATTGAAACAAAAATAAAAATCACATATACAAATTGGGAAACAAAAGAAAAGAGAAAGAAAAAAAAATCTGCTTTGCATGCATCTGCTGTGTAAAGCAATGCATTTAATTTTCCAAAGACACAGATTCCTATAGCTGTCCTTCTCTGCCACTGAAGTGTAATTACTGTCCATTTTCTTTCTCTTCATTCCACCTTTTCCACAGATTATGCAATAAAACTGCCACTCTTCCTAGTCCTTTTCTTCGCTGGGCTAATCCTCTCCTCCTCTTTTGCTAGAGCTACATGTTCCACTCCAAGCACATGAGAGCTGGGAGAAAGGGGTGAGAGCAAAGGGGGCAGGGAGGGGGCAGGAGGGGGAGGCAAGGGAAGAGCTATCTGGGCCAGTCAATGATGATACAGGCACCTGACAGCCGCCCTGCCCCTGTTCTGCTCCTGAGTGCAGGTTGCAGAGTCTGGTGCCTTGAGCTGAGCTTCTGATCGGCCAGGGCAGCCCTGAGTGAAGCCCTTCCTCTTGCTGCTCTTCCTCAGCCTTCTGGAGCAGTGCACTTGCTCCAAGTCACGCACTAATAAGGTCTTATTTCTGCTTACCTTACATGATAATTAACATGTACCTGCAGAAAGAGAACATAGATGGTTAGACCATGTAACATATATAAATTTACTTGTACAAAAGCATGACTGACTTGGCACAAGCATAAATGTAGTTGTTAATGTTAAATCATTAGTGTTTTGAACTTGCAAGGAATTCAACCAATGCTTCCATCTCTTCCAACTAACAAAATTATACACTTGACAAGACTAGATCCAAAGAGCAATAGGGATTTTTCTTTGTCTTTACCTAAAAATACTAGGTTGGCAACTTTGTTCTTTTCCGAGCAATTGCATCTTCAACTGCACGGAGCTGTTTGAGAAGTTCCTCCTTCGATTGGCTTGGGGCTTCTTTGCCTGCGGAGGGGCAGCTGGAATGGGGGCAGGGGGGTTCGTACCACGACCTGTGGCAAAAGGCAGAGGGACGTCACTTGATGAATTACACAATTCACAAAAGAGAGAACAAAAGATGACAAAATACATTACCCAATGTACAAGTACTTTGGAATACATGACGATATACAACTTAATAAAAATGGCAATACAGTATGTGACTAACCACTATCAGCCATAACTAAATGGTGAACAGTTAAAAACAAGTTGACTTCTTCTAAAACATGAAAGTATGAAATGCAAAAGCTTACTTTCTGTGGCGGTGGCTCTGGGGTGGGCTGTCTGGCTTGCGCTTGCGGATGACTTTTCCGTCTGTGTCCGACTCACCGCCTGAAATGCAAGACAATTTTTTAAAGTCTTGGCATGATGCTGAAGTCTTAATTGTACAAGAACAAAAAATAAGTAGGCTATTTCTTCTCAATACCTTTATTTGGCTTATCTGGAATATCAGATGCTTATTATTATTACTTTATTCTACCAGTAGTCATTACAGCCACTTCCATCACCTTTAAACTCTTTCTTAGCCTTCTGATTGGCACCATGCACTAGCTATCCTTCTGGTGCTGCAGCCTATACTTACTGTCATCTTCCTGTGGCAGCACTGGCTTATCCAGGCGTCTCATGGCCGACCCCTTCAGCGTCAGCTTGATCTGCTGCTTCTGTCCTGAGAGCTGAAAATGTAGGGAATTCATTCAAATATGAGCCATCTTGTTGACATGAGCAAAAGACCATCACGTCATGAGGGTGGTGATGTGAACATGCCATCAAGGGAAAATTTGGCTATGGGCTGGGTGACACAACTTGCTGTTATGAGCATTTTGGCCGAAGGCTGGGGGTGGTGGAAAAGACTCACCACAAGTCCACAAACCTCTTGGAGGATGATTAGACTCATTTGGTGTTTAGGAAGGGGACTTTGCTTTATTCCCATTGACAAACATGTGTGGAATGTGGTGTGTGTGAGCCATGACTGGAAGAGTGCCAGCTCAGCATCCTATTCCTAGCTGCTGCGACTGCTGGTGCAGGTTGTGTTACAGAAAAATGAATGAATGAATGAATAAAAAAAATCTTGCCCACAGTTATGAACTCCAAGAGGGAGGACATGGAGTCTGTGCAAAGAGAACAGTCTATTACCATATGGGTAAAGGAAATCAAATGATGGATATGGACGTTGGATAATGGAAGAAAAAAATAAAAAATAAAAAATAAAAACACTTATGCATAAGAGAAAATAACATCACCGCCACCGCCTACACATTGTGCACCTGCCAGAGTGGCTACTCATGTAAGCTTAATGTCTGTATTTTGGTCCATGTGACTGCCTTGAAGCAACCAGATCCAAGGGTTAATCTCTATTTTTGCATCCAGACAAACTATGCTTAAAAATAGTTTTCTAAAAAACTTTTCAAAAGCAAAAGGATGCTTGAGTGCCAACTTGTCTTTCCCAGGAATTTGCCCTTTTACTGTGCACGGAGATGCATTACGAGTGCCCATGTGCGTCATACAGCCGAGTTCTTGTTTTCAGCCAATCATTTTCCTGCCTTCCTAGATAGTTCTGCCTCTGGATGCAGTTGGCATCAGCACCTGGGCTAATCAGGTGTGAGGGTATATAGACCCTCTATCCACTGTAGACTGCAGCTGCCTAATGCATCATGAAGAACCATTTATAACTGAGGCCACAATTGTCTAATGCATTCATAGGGTTAAGAAAGTGACCTTGTAATGAAGCCACTTGACATTTTTTGATATTGTATTTTCTGAAATTCCTTCACAGAATTCACCAAAGCAATGAAAAGTTCAGAAGACGTTTTAAGAGGCCAAATCGTCCATAAATTGCTAAAATCCAAAGAGAAAGAGAAAATACCTTCATGGGGTCCATGGCCTTGCTCTTGGCCTGGCCGTATGACACTGTTCCTTGGGTCATCCTTCTCTTCTCTCCTGTTACATATGGGAGAAGAAAAGTCATTATACAAATAAAGAAATTAAGATATATTCATGTGGATTAATGGGCAGATATGACAAAGGGAAATGGGAAGAAAAATTAAGGTCAACAAAGCAAAATACAAGTAGTGTGAGGGATGACTGACCTCTTCGCCTGCTCCCTACACTGGAAGCTGAGCTGCTGCGGGAGAAGCTGGACCTTGAACGTGACCTTGACCTTGAAATGGAGCGCCCTCTCGAGATAGACCTCGAAGAGGCTGAACTGGATCTTGAGCCTGACCGAGACCTAGAGCGACTGGATGAGAATGTTCTTCCAGGTCTACATGAAAAGAAAAGAACAGAGACATTTGGCTTATTTCTTTGTCTTTCCCTTGCAATGTGGATCAGCTGTATAAAAATGCCCAAAGTAATGTTCTAACTTTATAAACTTGATGCAACACTGTAAAAATGCCCATCATGATATACTACCTTTATAACCTTATTATATTTATAAAAATTATAAATGGCACTATGTAAATAAAACAAACTTTTAGACCAAAATTAAACACCCTCCTCTTGTTTTTTAAACATATAACATATACAAAAATCACCTAAATTCTATGAAAATAATAGATTAAGGAA